CTTATCAATAAAACAAAAATGTGTGTAAGTGTATATCTGGCCCACTGGTGTGCAGACCTGCACTGACAAACCATTGCTCTTCAGTAAGCTCTCATCATCATAGAGATCAAAAGAGGAGCGATGACAGCTGCTGACCTACAGTTACTGTAGCCCAGCAGAAGTGAAGTTTTAAAGAATCCTGAATATTTAAGGACACACTTAATTCTCTTGCAGCCAATTTCTAGTCCGGTAGCAGAGGCAGGGATCGCAGGTAATGTAATTATTAATGTGAGCATGACTGGGGCAGGAGGGACCGTTAAAAACACCTTGTCAGTTTGTCTGTGAAGGTTCTCATTCATCCAGGTCATGGCATATCTGTAAAAATAAATCAAGCCAACTGGACTTGCTGTATTTTTCTTGAAGATGTTTTGCTGGTCATCAGACTAGCTTTCTCAATTCAGAATGAATACATAAGTAATGAATTCAGAATTGAGAAAGCTAGTCTGATGACCATGCCTTCAAGAAAAATAAAGCAAGTCAAGTTGCCTGGATTTATTTTGTACAGCTACACTTTGTCCTGAATGGAAACATTGACAGTGTCTCTTTAAAGGCCAGTGTGCCCTTAACAATCAACAAAAATGGCCTTAAAGTCGAACTATGAGCAAAATCAATTATTACACTGTGCAACACTTATCATGAAGCAAAGCCCATTGAGCCTTAATGAGCACTTATGGTTGCCTCCATATACAGTACATATATACAGTAATTGCAAAGTGCAGTAATGCGAAGTGTAATTATTTGTTACCTTCATGAATTCACATCAGTCATGCTGCATAACTTTCATATGATTTTTGGGTGTGTGAAGCTGATGACATGTGACTATATTCTGTAATTAAAAGTGTTTAACTAAAGCATGTTTTAGTTCCTTTCTGCCTCCTTCGCCATAATGTGAATGGTAATCAGCAAGGCTTAGTTCATAGATGCCATGTATTTCATACTTTGCACGCACAATGGCCAGAAATACCTGAAATGTTTCCAAAGTGAGAGGATAGGTGTCATAAGAATAACAGTGTTAAAACGATAACACAAACATTTTGGATTTCCCTTGTATATGGATGTTTGTTTGTTTGCTTTTTTTCTTTCATACTGCCTTTGTGAAGTAGTTTGGAAGGACTAGGGATGAAATTTGACTTTAGAACTGAACCTTATGGGGCAGCAAGGCCATGCCTATAATCAGGCAGCCTGTGACGGTTGCCTCAGGCGGCATCTCATTGGGGGGCGGCAGGTGTGGGGGGGTGGCAGAGGGGTGGCCACAGCGTCTCCGG